TTTTTTTTTTTTTTTTGCAGTGTCCCTAATCCTCTTCCGTAGACAGAGGAACTGTCCTAATTAGATAAACTATTATGTAAAACATCAGTTCTGACACCAACAGGCAGCTAATATTAAACTCACACATCATCAATGATCCTAACAAAGCTAAACTTCTCGTTTGTTCCTCTCAGCTCCTCCAAAGCCTCTGGAGCAGGAGAAGAAGTCCAGGTGGGATGTTTCAGAGAAAAACAAAGAGAAGAAGAACCAGGATCCGCTGAGCGAGCGTATCAGCGATGCACAGAACCAAGCTGAGCCCAAATCTGAACAGAACTCACCTCCCGGGTCCAACAGCATCCAGACTGCAGCCGGCAGCAGCGAGGTCCGTCTGAACAAACGGGACCTGCAGCTTTAGGTGGATCCTCTGCAGGTCTAACCTCTGCTGGGCTTTTCTTCCAGGGGGGGTCAGCAGATCAGCCCAGCTCAGAGCAGAGAACAAAGGATGAAGACCAGGAAGAGGAGGAGGAGGAGGAGGAGGAGAAGAGGCCTCCTATGGATCTGTTCAAAGCCATCTTTGCCAACTCCTCTGATGAGAAGTCCTCCTCCTCAGAGGGAGAGAGTGATGAAGAGGAGGAGGAGAATGATGCAAAGGAAGAGCGATCAGAGACGGAACCAGTGAAGCTGTTCGTCATCTCCTCTTCCTCCTCCGCCGCCCCCCCTGCCTCCTCGTCATCCTCCGCCGTCCCCCCTGCCTCCTCTTCCTCTGCTGTCACCTCCAGGCTGCACACAGGTTCTCCAGCTGTTCTGCAGATGTTCTCAGCATCAACCGGACTCTGAGCTCAAAGGTTCTCTTTGTTCCCCAGAAGCAGCAGCTTCCCGTCAGACGTCGGCCAAAGACGAGGAGGAAGAGTTTGGACCGAAGCTGCCGCCTCCTTCGGCTGCTGTCGGTGAGAAGCTGCTGCTCCTCCTCTGAGTTCTGGCCATCAGGAGACGTCCCTCCGTTTTTCACGGGTCGGTTTAAAGCGGATCGGGAGGTTTAACTGTTTGCTTGTTGTTCTCCTGATCAGACAGAGGAGGCGCCACCTCCACGGCCTCCAACCGTCAGGATGAGAAGTCCAGCAAGAGAAGCAAAGAGAAGAAGCAGAAAAGCAAGAAGCACAAGAAGGAGAAAAAGGTTGAGGAAGAGGAGGACCAGGTCAGAGGTGAGCTGCTTCTGATCTCCGTTCTGATTCTGTTTGTTTCTGCAGAAGAAGAAACACAAGAAGCACAAAAGCAAAGGGAAGAGTAAGAAGGAGGAGTCGACCAGCGGCTCTGAGGAAGACGAGGAAGACGCCGAGCTGTCGACGGACGAGCTGCTGAGGAGGTCAGAGGTCGCAGCGAGCTTCGGCTCATCAGCGGTTCTGATGTTCTGATCCTAAATCCGCCTCCGTGTTTCTGATCTGCTTTCAGACTGAAGAGCATCCGGACCCCTCGGACCCGGTGACCCGGAGAAACGCATCATCAGCCGTCTAATAAAAACCAGACATCTTGTTAATGTCGGTTCTGGTTTACTGGGTCTTCGCTGCTCTTCCATTTAATCCATTTTATCACATTTTAAAGAACAGATTTCTGTTGATCTGAAATGAAAACCTGAGTTCTGAGCGAGGAAAGGAGGGCCGGTTCTGGTTCTGTCTGCGTTCTTTTCCTGGTCCCCCTGAACCAGAACTAAATGCAGACTTTTGGACTATACCTCTGCTATGATTGGTCGGTGCCCAGCTCCCCTCTGGGTCCCGTGCTCCCGTTTCCTGGGTGATGGATGGAGCAGGACACAGGAGGGTGAGAAGCTTCTGTTGGACGACCAGAACAGAACCCGCTGGAACCCAGAGAAGATTGATTAAAGCCCCTAATTAAAAACCTGATCTGATAACGGCCAGCAGTACGGTTTATCCCACAGGCCCTGAACGCACCATTTCAGACGCGTTTCTATGGAAACCACTAGCGGTCAACACGTAGCTATCAGAGTTTTTCTTTGGTTTTATTAAGAATGAGTCCGATAAACAAGCCATGGGTGGAGGATGAGGAGGAGGATGAAGGGTGGAGCTGCAGGTGAGATCTACCTGCAGGACTTCAGAGGAAATGTTCTGGTAAATGTTTTGATGCTGAGTTGTTAATAAAGTTTGTTTGATTTTGGTTCTGGGACTCTGGTATGGAGCTGACACATCCAGCGGGAAAGGTCAGATGTTTTACCCGACCAGGGCTCACCCTGAGCGGATAGGAGGACCTCTGAGAACCAGGCCTTGGAGGGAAGCTTTTCCAGGAGGAAATTCAACCAAAAACACCCGAACCTGAACTGGGCGGCATGATAGATGAAACTTTCCAGAGAATTTCATTTTGTTTTAACAGTGTCGTGTCTGGCGATGTGGCAATAAAAATAATTATCTTGATGCCATAAAGAGCCCAACAGATTTTACTTTCACCAGTGGAGCAGTACGGCAATCGCCATAGTGTTCCGCTTGATTTACGCATATAAATAGCTTTATTATAATTATGCAGGGAGTTTTACAGATTATATTGACGCTGCAATGTAAGTAGAACAGGAAAGGAAAAACAGAAAAAAGGAGGAAAGATAAAAAGGGAGATAATTATTTGTTCCCAATAAATATTATTTTGTGGCCATAAAGTACTTGGCTGTGGCAACGAAATATTAATTAGTTCTCTGGAAAAATGAATTTGTGCATAAACTTGTTCTCATGATATAACTTGGTCTATATGTGGCCACAGCATGAGTCGCCTATAAATATAATGCACACTTTTTAAAACATAATCCTCCTACCAGGGAAGGATTTAAGTAATGTGGGGTCCTAGGCAAAGACAGGCAGGGGGCCCTCTGAACTGAGAAGTCAACACAGAACAGTTCCATTCTAGATAGAGCCTTTGGTACATATCCCTGTAACAGAGATAGATTCATCACATCTAGAATGGAGGAGGAGATCAAAGGGAATAACATACAAGTTGAAGGCTTAGATGAAGACAATCATTTTGCAAACTCAGAAAGTTCAACTGGATCAAAGCAGTCTAAACCCGGTTCAGATTCCATGACTACCTCAGATGCTGCCCCACTCTCCAGAGATAAA